GTCATTAAGAAGGAGGGAAAGCAAAGGCCAACGTGGACGTCAGAAGAAACTCTGCAGCTGGCTCTTGAATGTCTAGTAGCTAAACCAAATGGAAGAAGTGGGGAAGCGAGCTGATCCGAAAATCCCACAGCACAGCTCAAGAAATCAAAGCATTGTAATGAAATGTTCAAACATCTGGAGTTAGAAAACCAAGCGGGAAGTACACACTCATCATTTCTCAAGCTGACGAGGAAGTATCAATGTAGCACTCCAGCCAGGTGGGGGCTCCCTGGGATGTGCTACTCAAGACAGGAAACTGAGTCATGAGGGAACGAGAGAAGAACTTAAGAGAGAGAAGACCCTCCCAAGCTTCTCCGCTAGCTAGTTTTGAGTTGCACCCTGAAGGAGAAAGTTTACAAAAGTGCAGATGCAGGGGCTATTCCAAGGCACAGTGACTTCAGGCTCAACATGTTCTCATGATTCATTACTAACACATTCTCACTTGCAAGCACATTCTGGCCTGACGGGAGTTCTTTTTGTCTCCAGATTTGCTCCAAGTTCCTGGAACTCAGTGTTTGCTCCAAGTTCCTGGAACATCCAGACAGGTACACAATCGAGGTTTACTCAGAGTCTCCACACGTAAGGAATCCCTCCGGGGAAACAGGACAATCTATTCCTACAATCTTTCAATGCTGAAAGAGTCTGGGCTCAAAATATTGAATGATGCCAGCAATATCAAGAGAAGGTAGAAGGAATACAGAGTCATTGTACCATAAAGAACTGGTCAATGTTCAACTATTTCAAGAGATAGCATGTCATTAAGAATTAATGAAATTGAAGGAAGAAACCAAAACTACACTGAAGGGACTGGTGGGAAAAAATGATGCCAGGAATTGACAATATGTCTTGAAATGTTTCAACTAACAGATACAGCACTGGAGGCACTCGCTTGTCTATGTCAAGAAATTTGAAAGACAGATACCTATCTGACAGAATGGAAGAGATCCGTATTTGTGCCTGTGTTAGTCTGGGTACTTTAGAGAAACAAATCCACAGAAATTCATGTATAAGAGAGAGTTTTATATAAAGGTTAAGTGCGCATCAAGAAAACATCCCAACCCAGTGCTG